CGAGTCACGTGACTGACCTGAACAAATAAGACAGTGTTGACTTTTTGTTTCACATGGGACATGGACAGCGGTCTCATGGGTGAAAGTCCTGTGTTTGTTTGACCCTCCTTAAGCAGACTGTCACACACTCATTACCATGTCCACTGAGCCTCTAATAATGACACGGGTGGGTTCACATCAGAGTTAGACGAAAGCCCGGTGCGTTGCATACAGACACTGAAAGATGCCCCTGTGTGTCAGTATTTAAAGAGCTGGGAGTGAGAATGGGTTTAAAAAAAAGCTGCTTCTGCCCAAGTGGCAAAATTTGAAAAGTAGGAATGAGACCACGTTGCTGCAGGGCGGTGAGACAAGCTTCCTGCAGGGCATTCAAAGATAAGAAAACTTTTCGATTATCTTTCAGCTCTCACCCTTACTGACTGGCCAGCTACTTGACTCTTTGGTCCATTCTCTAAGGATTATTGAAATGAAGCAACCATGACAAGGTTGATTATTTTTGATGGGAATAGTCAACACCAGATGTAGCATGTGAGGTAAATAGTTAGAAAATCACTGGAGGACATGAATAACGATTACCATTAGGGCTCCCAACATGTTATTGTCCCAAAATATGACCACATTATGAGATAACGATGTCAAAAAGGTCTACTGTCATAAACTGCATTCTTCGGGTGTCACACAATGGCAGTGACGGCTTCAAACTGATAAGTATGGCTGCCTGTGAAAACCACAGTTTTAGGTGATAAAAAAGGGAAATAACAGATGAGTTTGAAGAAAACATTTACATCTCCTTTTTAATAAGCAGAAGCAGCAAGTCTCTGATGGCCAGGACGCTCTCTAGTACTTGGAAGCCACTCTGCTCACCCACAGAGCCATATTTTATTAGGTACTTGACTGAACGTGAAAGTATTTCTCTTTTTAATCCACAACAATGTCTGCTCTGATCTGATATTCAAACAACAATTTTAGGAGTGGAGGCCACTACTTTTTAGTTCATTGCAATGAGTTTGAAGCTATCTCTTCCTCTTCTGTCCAATCTAAAGGGCGCAAATGTGGACCTCCCAATGTGAATTATTAAAAACAAAAAGAAAGACAGCCACGCATTAGTTGCCGCTGACCACCCAGAGCTATTTGACACCACAGAACATTTTGCAATAATGTAAACAAAAAGTGTCAAGCATGAGTGGGACACACTCGGAAGTTCGAAGTAGCTTTTTAGCTTCACTGTTCTTACTGTTTTTGAATGCAGCTGATGGACTGACCGTTGTGTGTTTCCCCAACAAGTCCCCATGTCACTGCAGACCCAAAGGCGTGATCAGGACCAGAGCTTTGGGTGCAACCGCAAGTGTGATCGCTGTCTCGATCGTGATCAGCAGTTGAAGAAGAAGTGGCGGTCTGACCACAGAGTCACACACGAGCTGGAGGAGAAACTGAAGAAGAAACATCTGCAACCTCCTTCCCACAATTCCCATAAAAAAGGTGCTTAATGGGCTTAATAGATTAGAAGGTTAGAATTAGAATGGTTGCACTGAGAAGCTCCACAACAACATGTAGAAGGACGCTCATCAAATCTGTGTAACTAGTCTCTGGATCTTGAATATTCTTTTAGCTGTTGGAACTCTCATTCTCTCAAATCATTTCCTTGCTCACACGACCTTGAGGGAAATTTCCTTTCTGCCACAGTGGCTCAAAAAAAAAAATGGTGACTCTTGTTACCTGCATGAATGTGGAAACAATCTGGACGTTGGGAGAAAGAATGGGTGGAATGCAGGTCCGTGGACGAGGAGGGGGGAGGAGGGATCGTGCCTTTGGTAATCACAACACAGATGTTTTAAGGACCCTCTCTTTTTGACGGATGTCAGAGCTCATGCGGGGAAACATAAAACAGTCATCTTTGCAGGGGGGGGGGGGTTTTGTTTAGTTTGAACAAGAAGGTCAGATGTCAGAAGCATCAGCTTATCCCTTTTTTTTTTAAGCTTTTCAGCATCTCACAAGTTGCGGAACGACTTTCGGATGAGTGTGTTTTTGCAAACCTGTCAAATCTATCGACCGGGACTAATAGCCGGCGCTGCCTCCCTGGTTACTAAGGAAACCACTGAGCTCCCGAGAACCATCCCGTCCCCATATTTGGAGGGCTGGTGTGTCATATCCAGGGTGACATAGTATGATTAACCAGTGAGAGGTCTTTAGGAGGAGGACAGGAGCTTAACCTTTCTCATACCACGCCATCATCTCTTGCAGATTACTCTCTATGCAAAGGCATTCACACAACACAAACCTTTTTATTTTCATTTTTCTATCTGAAAGCTGTTCCAAACTGTTTTTCTGTGTAAATATTTTCCTGTCATCTCCATCTTGTATCTTCTCATATGCATTATTTTGTATTAGGATATAGTTATAAAGGTAATGTTTTTAGCTTATTTTGCAAAGAGAATGGAAGCTTATTTGTCGTGTGTCCAAACCCCATCCATCTAAAGAACGTTTGATGACTCCACATTCTCTTTAAATCGCACAAGATTTTCTTCTCTTTTCTTTTTTTCAACCAAGAATGACTAAATTGAGATCCGCAAGCAACAGAACTGGCCTCGGTTCAATAAACAAATAGGTCAGGACACTAGAGTGCTGCAGCCCTATTTCTGAGCAATTTAGCCATAACAAGTAACAATTCTTCCTCATGTCCAAAGGCCAAATTGTCTTATTTTCAGCATAGGGCTGGAAATGCTGAAGACCCTTTGCTCCAGTGGCCTTATCTCACCTCCTGACTGTAGCTGTTGGATGTGTCACCGGCTGGTTTAAAGTCAGCATATACAGCAGATTCCTCAGAGGCTCGTACAGTAAGGTGAAAGTTCAAAAAAGTTCCCATATTTTTACCAGGAAAGTATCGCAAAGTATTAAGTCAACAAATGTGACTCGTTGTGAAACATTACTTGGAGAATGTGGGTTCCATAATTAAAAACAGCTTCAAAGCCAATCTACAGAAGTGTAAATGGTTCTCACCCTCCACTTTACCATCAAAGACCCCCTGAGATCTGTGGTGGTGGGTGGGAGGTAAACAGTCTTCTCACCATCTCTTGGGAATACACAAATAAACACACTCACACACACACACTAACGCGTTACCATTAACCATTTGAGCCTCAGATCAGCCTTAATTGGGTTACATCAAAGGGCAAGGACAACATGCAGGGAGCATATGGTCGCTTTAGTTTTTGTTTTTTTACAGTCAGTTAAGAAAAACTAATGAATTAGAAACATTGCTTCATGGGTGTGTGTTGTAATGTAGGTGAAAAGGAAAAGCTATAGGCCCACCAAATATATGGAGAGAAAGCCCATCCAGAGAAAATTTTGCATGATCCACCAATTTGTTTTTCATAAACGCAATAATTTGTCTTAAAAGCGGGAGCAAATGAAAGCTCATGACCTAAATGTACAGCGACCTTCTCTTATCTCGCAACTAAACGCTGATGGAACTGGAGGGAAAAGGTCAAGGAGTCACCAAAAGTATTCAAATCCGTCCTCTGAACGTGACAAATGAACACAAACTGCATAGCAATCATTTGTTATGTTCTAACAGACTACGTCGCTGGCCGAGTCATGATTCTGACCGGCTCTAAATGAAATGTCAAGAGTCGCACGAGAAGTTAAACAATCATCCTCTGGGGACACAGATATAGAGTTTCACAGCAGCCTGGCCGGCAGTTATTGAGATATTCTGCTTTGGGACAAAATGTTGGGACCGCTTCATCGACTATTACTTGTTGGGCAAAAAAAAAAAGTGTTAAAGATGCCGATCTTCAGTTAAGAGTCTGGCCTCTGAATATGCTTCATTATCCAGGATGCACAGCTTCGACCTCATTTCACACCCTGCACTCTGCAGCAATGCACATTCCTGTAAATGCTGCACACTGTTGATAATCCTCTTCATATGTACCATGTGTGAATGAATAAATACTATATGCATGAGATTCTGTGACTACTCCTGCAAGAACAACAGGAAGCACCCGGCCAGAGAAGGCAGGAATGATCAGTAATGGTAGTCGTTGAAATATTAACATTCTGACTATATGATGTCTTGATATAATCTGTCACTGCAGAAGAATGAGCACACAGCCACACACATTGTTCACCTCCATCTTGGTGGCAGGTGAGGCGGGTTAATGTTGCCTGTCTGCCTGAGAGTCAGACCTCCAGAAGACCTGATGTGATTTTAGTGTCAGGACCGAAACCCTTAATCACATTTTGCCATCTTTTGACAGAGTTCAGCGAGAAGTGAAGTCAATGCAGTTCATGAAAGTGTCATTGTGTTACGAGGCCAGAGCACAGCGCGGTGCATCGACTCCTGCCGGTGGTAGACAGCATCAAGGCGTATACTTTGGGAAGATGCCAACGCCCGCAAGAAATGAAGGACCATCAGTCCGCTGCTGGCCTCTTCATCATGTTTGAGCAATTACCTACACCTACACGTGCTGACGTGCAGTTCCTGTTGGAGGACTACTGGTGCTGGCTTATGGATAACTTTTTTAGGAAAAAAAAGGAGAGATGAAAACGTTCAATGAAGAAAACACACGCATTCGCTTGACATCAGATCAGCGTGGAAAATCCACACAGATGTCCTAACTTTAACTCTTGTTTTTTTCATTTATTTATTTTTATCCGCTCACTCCCTTCTACAAATATTGTTTAATAAAGGCGCCCAGCTCTGGCGCAATCAAGTCCTTCTTTCCAGACGCGCGCACAACCGAGCGTCTCCCCGTCGATATAACGGTGCGCACGGTGCATTTTCAGTCATCTGCTAATGCCATCGAAGCCTTTTTTTGATCTCAACCGATCGCTTTCTAGCCGCGTCTACGTGGCAGGTATACTTTTGATTATGTAAAGATGCCCACACGTCCGTGCGTGCATGAGAAGACGCGCTTAAAGTGAGCCAGAGAAAAAAGAAAAAACGTTTTTTTGCGAATTTATAAAGATTCGTTCAATGAGGATTATGCGGGGAAAATACTCACTGTGTCTTCCTTTCCAATGTTCCTGGAGGTCCAACTCAAGTTTGATTTAGTGTTGCCTGAAATTCCTGCCCAACAGACAACTCCGAGAGAGACTGCGGAACTCTTGTGTCAAAGTCGCAGCGGTGCAATAAAAGACTCCAAATCCAAAATGCAGCCAGGTAACCCTTTCATTTTATGTCCGTGCAGAAAATACCTCTTCCGATGTGCTTTTTTGTTGTTTTTTTCCTCCGTGTAACCCTGCTTTTCCAACTTGTTTTATTGATTCGTTCCCAGATGAAGTCGCCTTGATGCTCTCTGCTGCGTCTCCGTGCCTCTCTGCGCTGGCTCGGCGGGTCCGCCAAGCTCTCTCTCTCTCTCTCTCTCTCTCTCTCTCACTCTACAGGAGAAGACCTTTGTCTGCACGTGACGTCACTCTCTCACTCTGTCACACACATGCACACAAACACACAGCAAATAACAATAATAAATGAAGAGTGGCATCTTATTTTGCTCCTAGAAACCTTTTTTTCAAAAGATGTTACAGCATTTCACTGCAAACTAATAATAAAAAACACCAGATGCTTTCCTGAAACTGGTGGATTTTTAAGTTCCCAACATAGAAGACAGGTGAAACTTACAAGTGCATTTAGTCCACCCATTCACGTTTCCTCCCACTCATCTTGTAGGAAATAAATGACATCTCATGATGTATATGCCCTCTTTCCCCGAGACATTTCTTTAAGCGTTTGTAGTCGAGAGTTGTTCTTTTTCCCGTCAGTGCCTAATTGGAAACACATTTTTTTTCAGTAACTTGTTAAGAGAGAGACAGGAAGGGAGAGAGAGAGAGAGAGAGAGAGAGAGAGAGAGAGAGAGACAGAGAGAGAGAGAGAGAGAGAGGGGGGGGGGGGGTGGAGTGAAGCAGAGTAAAAAGAAAGAGAGAGCGACCCGACACTGAGGGACTCAAAGACATATTGTATTCCTCACCAATTAACCCTCCACATAGCATGCTGGAAATATTTCCTCCCTTCTGCCGGTGCTGGTGTCCAAGTGAAGCTTTGGAGCTTCTCGGGTTATGAGGAAGTGTTCGGTAGGGACCGCTATGTCTGTCAACTTTACACCATCTGCGAACACTTAGCGAGGTGTTTGTCGTAAAAACTAACCGTCGCGGCTGAGGAATGAAATGAAGTGTCAAAGCCACGATATGTCCAACAGTAGAACATTTCCTCATTTGTCTCAATTAGATGAATATGTTACGTTGAACGTTATTTAGGACCAATTTTCCAGGTGAGGCACAATAATGTTGCCTCTGTGTCCTCAAGACATCACCCAGACACCCACGAGCAGGCGCCATCTTATGAAAATGGGATGAGACGACACAATATTTGCCCTTAAAAGGCCTGATCGAGCATATATACAGTTGTGTGAAAAAGTGTTTGCCCCCTTCCTGATTTCTTATTTTTTTGCATGTTTGTCACACTTAAATGTTTCAGATCAAACAAATTTAAATATTAGACAAAGATAACACAAGTAAACACAA